ATTAAAGTGTCCAAAACCTGTGAAATATGAGATGGAAAGACCAAACCGATGAACCTCCCCATGTCTGCTGATATCATAGATTTTACTATACGGCTGTTTCAAGGTGAAATGTGCCACTTCTGTGTGCCTATTGTCAAACCGCTCAAACAAACAATGTTTTGAAAATGCAACATGGTCAAATTGTTAATGGCCCTGTTCCTGGTAGATGTAAAAATAGCTAAATAAATAAATAAATAAAAATAATTTAAAACAAATTCACACAAAGAGTAAAAATAAATAAATAAACAAAATTCAACTAATCAAATCGCAAACAACAAATCAAACCTAAAGAAAAAAAACAAACAAACAAAAACAATCAAACAAAACAAAAGAAAAAAGGAAGAACTAAACCAAAACAAAATACAACAAACCAATCTAAAACAAATCAAAAGAAATCAATGCCAAAATGAAAACAATGTGAATAACAAATAAAAAAAAAAATGAAAAGGATACATATTTTATATGTAATCGTTTTGTGGACAGCAATGTAAGGCCACATATACACTGCAGCTAAATTTGGTTGTCAGTTCACCTTTTAGTGCTTAATCCAATTCTGTACATAGTTCAGTAATTTATGGTAATGACAACTGCATTCTATGACCCAATTAACACCCCAAACATTTCTGTTCTGTTCTGTATACACAATAAAATGATAAAATAGGGAATTCACTCCTGTATTTAAATGCTGTTGTCACTTCTAAAACTTTCTGTGGCCTAAGATTTCTCAGTATTCTGAATTACTAAAGAATGAAGATCTGCCTGCAGGGAGGAAGAGAAAAACTGTGTAAAGAGAGTCGGTGCCCTTCAATGTCATCCACTGCTGTCTGCTGATGAGCCAGACATGACAGACAGAAATAGAGAGGAGAACGGAGACCTTTTTTTTTTTGCTTACGAGTGTTGGCACTGATGCCGCTATGTATTTGAACAGCTGAGATTGTTTTGATAAGAGCAGTCCAGAGACAGACAGATCACAGAACAGATGTTTGGGTCCCTGCTCTGTAGACTACTGTTGTCATCTCCCTGATCGCTCCCACCACTCTCAGCTTCCTAATATCAGCAGCACATTTGGCCAGAGTACAGCGAGTAACTGACACCTAGCAGAGAGGTTGAGAGAGATGTTATCTCAAGGAACGGATTAATATTAAAACAGTAAAACTACCAATTTGAGAACGATCAATACCTGTCTTTCCATCTAAAAACTTTAAAATCCAACCAAAATCCAACAACACCTAAACTTAATAGAGCATTACTTTAAAATCGCAGAGTGAATTTACAGAATGCTGATGTGCAGAAAAGAAGAAACTGACATGTGGCCTGAAGCACTGTATGTGTCCTTGCTTACAGTAGATGCTTTGAAGAAAACTGAAGGTGCACTTAAGTTCTGTCTGTACTTAAGTTTCTTTGTCCCAGTGCTCATATTGGCATGGACTTTGTGAACTTCCTACATTAACTGCCTCCTAGGGCAGCATCCTAACAGAGATGGAACCTCATAAATGACTGAAAGATTTATTAATTTCAATAGAGGGTGGTGTTAACCTGTCAGGAACAGGAATAGCACATCATTCTTGGCATGGTGCTCTAATAAGAAATAACATACATAACACACATAATATTGGGTAACAGAAGTTAATTTTGAATTAAATGTTTTTAATCCATTTATTACAGCATTTAATTAATTATATTTATAATTACCAGTTCTTTCGCTTTACCTGCCATCTTGCACTTATTTTAATTTTTTTCAGTGTTTGCCGCAGTGCATTTTAAATGCTATTTACAGAATGTACACTACTGATTAAGATTTCTTAAATAAATTATTACTTTTATTAAAAGTGAGAGAGAGAGTGAAAACTTTCTATTTAAAGAATTTTGAAATGCTGATTCAAAGTTTTCATAAAAATATGAATAAGCAAAATTGATTTCAACATTGATAATAATAAGAAAAGTTTCTTGAGCAGCAAATCAGCATATTAGAAAGATTTCTGAAGGGTCATTTATAAAATGTAATTACAGATATTAAAATATAAATATTATTTGACTCAAAATAGTGTATTTTTAAATAAAATAAATGAATAAATAAATGCAGCCTTTGTGAGCATAACAGACTTCTTTCAAAAACAAATGGTTTCAAATGGTACAGCACATTTTTTTAAAAACGTTCCTGCCTGCACGTTTAATGTTTTAAAGCCTGTGAATGTGTACGTGTGTTTGTTTGTGCATGCATGTGAATAATAGTTGCCTTTCCCCAGTCAGACAGCTCATAAGTGTCATAAATAATCTTTATCTCCACACCACCCACTGGAGGTAAATACAGCACATTAAAACATTACATCTGAAATTGATTCATTTCTCCCAGCATTACAAAAACACTGGACTGCGATCGATCAGTCCACACAAAAAGCGAGATATGCTTGCTCTGGGCTGTGGCTTCATTAGTTTTATTACGTCGTATGGAAGTTATATGGACACTGATCTGAAGATTTATGCTAATATCTCACCTCTTGTTTTATAATACAACAAGGTCATAGAGGCTGCTGCAATCAGATGTGGCACAATAGCATATCTAGCAAATGGTAGCCAGTGATTTACTTGCTTGTTATTTCATGCTTGTCGTTAGATCATATTGTGGAAAACTTCCATAAAATCCATAAATAATTTAAAACTCAAGCAGTTATCAACAACTGAGCGCTAAGGGGATTATTTGTGAATACCATGTTCCTATTTAGGATAAATAGTGTCTTAAATAATAAAATAAATAATATATAAAATAATAATAATAAAATAATGTATATTTATCCATTTTATTTTATTTATTAATTAAATATAAAATAATTTCAATAATAGTTTTATATATTTTTTCCTATTTAATTTAATTTTAAAAAATCACCAGAGGAACATTTACTCTGGTGCAACAGATGTTGTTTGCACCTGAAGAGTTCTGGAGGTAACAGTGAGGACAGCTCAGTCAATGAAAGTTTCTCACACACTTCAGTCTCGATACTGAGCACAGCAGGTCTAGCACACGCTTAGCACTCAGTATGTTATTCCAGCAATCAGCAGTTTGGTATGATTCAAACTGGTATGATTCAAACAGGATTGGGCGTATTTTGAAAGCACATCTAGATTTCCATACATATGTTCATAGAGCTCTTTTCCAACACACTTCCCACACAGCAGCACCATGCAGATGTATGCGGCGCAAGATAAAGGAGCCGTTCGATAAATAACAGACTGCCAAACATTGACTTTTATAAGAGGTCAATGATTGCAGATGGCATTTAAAAGATCCTTGAATAAGTCTGCAACTTTGAAAACAAGTCTGTTTTGAAGAAGAAATCTCACGGCATATCAGCAAAATATATCAAATCAGTTCAGCTGGCATACTATCAACTTTAATCACAGTCTGGTTAAACCAGGTAAAATGACAGAGAGTAAAGCTGATGTCAATTAATAACTGTTTGAATTGATGTGATTTTCATATCAATAGTTATAACATGTCTCAAAGAAATTAAACACTGTGAAAAGAAAAGTAGTTGAAAATAGTCAAAAGCTGTCTTTATCTCTGTGGAAAATACTTGGACTACAAACATTTCCACTCTAATGGCAATAGTCAATGTGAGAGAACTGGCATTCATCCGCAGTCTGTGCTTACCAATCAACTTAGGCATGAAATGTGATGATGGCCCTGCTCTTTGGCCTTGCTGCTTAACGAGTGAATATTCACCCATATATTATGCAATTATGCTAAATGGAGTCTACACTGTTACACCAGATGTTGTTTAATCAACCTCTGAATGAGGAAATAGCTGTAAATTCACGGTTTCCACTATCTTCTATTATTAAAAAAATGCAAAGGCTGAGGACAGTATTGTGGAATAAACTCAAGTGATGAGACATAAAAGTCTACAAGTACTGAGGGGCATATATTTGGAAGTAATGCAGTGACAGGAAACAAATAAGATTATATATGTCAATAACATCTGTAAAATAAGCAAATTAGCCAATTTTGATTAAATGAAGGGTTGCGTAAATTAATACACCCTTGATTAGGTACTTAATATGTCTTCTGAGTATTCTACTGACCCTTCTTGGCATTGAGTGTACAAGTTTGTGACAAATCATCCCATCTATCCTTTTTAACTCCTGGAGGATTACCTCCTTAAATGTGCCGATTTTAATGGGGAGTGTTGCTCAACTTGTCTCTACAAAATCCCCCACAGGTCCTCAAGAATGTTAAGGTTGAAGTTTTCCTCCTTGGGGAAATGTAAGGTCATTGTCATGTTGAAAAATACCCAACATTGCAGGAAATTGCGAGAGGGTACCATCTTCTAATTCAAGTTTTTGTATTACATCACATATCCCTAAGAACTTCTCAAGCACAGAACTTCAGTGTGGGAACCAGGCACTTCTCACTGTACTCCTCCCC